AAACGGGTACAGAACTTGACATAATGGGGTTGTCAATTCTATTTCCTGATCAACAATACAAACGTGTTATAGTCAGCAGAGTGGCGCAGTGGAAGCGTGCTGGGCCCATAACCCAGGGGACCGTGGGTCGAAACCACGCTCTGCTACTCCTTTGCTCATTCTGTTGCACGGCTATGACTGCTTGTGTTCTGTATCACATTTTAGCCCAACTATCGTGGACTGTAGAACTGCCACTTTGTAAAAACTACCTGCTCCTATTTTCCACATATCACTGTCGTTGACTAAGTGGCACATTTTGGCGATCCGTTGCCATGCTGAGCTCATCTGCAGCAGACACAATTATGCATGCAACCAAGATATCCATGTCAGAAGAGTGGACTCTTGATTCGTCTTGACAATCGTAAAATATCTCCACAATGCCTCCTTGAGCAGCTTCAACCGAAATACTTTATGTAAATCATGCATAAGGTGGGCAAAAGCAGTCGGTGACTAACCACCCTTCCTACAGAGGCTGATAATAAGGACTTGATTTCCAGAAAACACTCAACAAATGTTACATTGACACTTGTGGTTAGAGACTAAAATTAAGATCTCTGGAAATGCAAGGCTAAGGTCTTTTATCACAGCAGCATAAATGTCGGGCTACATGTCCTCCTTACTTTCTTCAATCATGTGTAATTTGCGTCTTAGGAGAAAGAGAACGGTCTATTTTCTTCCGCAGAGCTTGACTGTAGGTTACACAGGGAAGGTAATGGGCTGCATTTACAAAGACGTGTGCTGCAATGCGACGTCACCTTCCGCCTCCGCTTCTTCGCCCTCCCCTCCTCTTGCCTCGCCTCGGCTCCACTCTGCTCTGCTCGGCTCGGGTCGGCTCGCTCTCCTTCTTCATCCGCATTGGTTGGCGATTTCGGCTATTCGACAGTTTGCCACGGCTATCTTCCTCCAACTGTTCTGCCTCCCTCGTTGCCCACGATGGATGCACTGCTGGTCAAGGTGGTGGCAATGAAACTGACGAAACGCAGGAATGTCATCACCTTCGTAGCTGGTTTTTTCTGGCGATCTCCTCTTTCTCCTCTTCCCCCAACTTTGCCCTTCCCCACTCATTTATCTCTTCTTCCGCATCTACATCCGTATATACAGTCTTGGGGCAGCTACTCTGCCGCAGTAGTCTTTTCCTCCCTTTTACTTTTGCTTTACCTTTTGATATCATAAAATACACTTCTATTCTAATTGGCAGCGTCTTCTTCGCTTTAGTACGGGCGGAGTGGCCATCTTACCTGACACTAGCAGCATGACCTTGATGGAGCTTCGGAAGTTGGTGATTGGTGGGCAGTAGTAGCTGGATGCCGTGGGTAGGAGGAAGGAAATCTACTAATTTGCAATAAGTAGGAAGACAGACCTGTGATTAAATATGGATGCGGGGGTCATCAAGTTTCGTGCGGTGAAATAAAGGAATGGTGTGTTTTCCTTCCGATCCTTGATTAGACTTACCATTAGTAGGGTGATCAGATTGTATCCATTGGTTTTAGTCATTTTGAAGCCTTTTACTCCGTTTAGTGCAGTGGTAAAGAGGACAAGGAAGGAGTCAGTCGCAACAACTAGGTCTGCTTGGCACAAACGTGATACACTTGCCGAGTCATTGAAGGGCAACGTGTAGAGATGAATTTGACGTGTCGGATACGTTGATACGCCAATAGCAATGTGTGTGTAAGGGGCGCAATGATAGGGGGCGAATTATTTGTGATGTATAGTTGGAAGGGAAGAAGGCGCAATGTAGATTTATGTTGATGGTGCTTTTCAGTCGCATCAAAGGAAAGTGGTGATGCCGCAGGATGCGAGATGGACAGAATAAATGTTGCATCGACCGAAGCACTTGAATCGAACCAAACACGATCCTCACTTCTGTGTACAAAGTCTCGATTGGTGAAGTCATCTTCGCCAAAGGTCGCTCGAAACAAGCTTCAACGTGACTGGGGAAGATCTGCATTTGCCGTGGTACTTGAACAACTTTAAAATCGATTTGCGGGCCAGAGCTGGAGTATGACGAAACTCACCCAAATTCTCTCCCCATCGCAGCTGCCATTGTGCCGGGTTGGCAAAGAGCATGGGTCTGTTAGTGCGACCAATACTTCGACGGAACGACAAGAGACAATCTAGCTTTTTGTGTCACCTCCCATTGCAAAGACTGCAACCGCGATTATTATCAGCTAACGAGCCTTAAGAAGGCGTAGGCAAGCTGCGCAAATCCTGCATGGAATCTCGCTTGGGATCTACCACGTACAGCAGTCAGTCGCAGTTGTCTCGTTCAAATCCGTCACCACATTTTGTGACCTGCTACGGAACTTTGGGACTGCTGATGTGTCGATATGAGACGCACAACTTCGGCTTACGCGTGTGCAAAATATGCCGCCAAAGCGGTTGCAATTAGTGTTTACATTGCATTTCACAAGTGATAAACGAGGACCGAGTAGAATAACCGCATCTACCCTGTGCTACACCTCCATCACATATTTGATCATCTTTGCTGCAATCACTTACGCTGCAGTGCTAGGCAACATGTTCTCCTGAGCACTCAGCTTCGCTCGACGTTTTGTACAGTTATAGGATTAAACACACGGGAGGAACGCGAGGGGATAAGCATGCCTTAGTAATTTATCATGCAGGAATGAGGTGGCACTTAACGTTTGTGTGAAATATATGAGCAACTTAAGGCATTCAGGCATCTACATATGGTGCAAACATTATACGAACTGGTATACTTGATACATCTCCCAAAAATTGCACTAAGATAGAAGGAATGGCGAATGGGATAGGAAACTCACCATCCCGCATCCCGGCCACACTCGCTTCCTAAAATTGTCTTCTGCTGACTTCGATCTAAAGAGTTTCGCCAAAGTTTGGGCCTGCTCTCGAAGTACACCACCACCTATCAACGAGAGTTATTTTAAGACCCTACTATTCGTGATGTCGCATTCGGACTTTTCTGCCTTCACTGTGACGTACGTTTCGGCTCCAAGTTTAAGAAAGTGCTCTCGCACTAGTGTCGTTGCAATAACTTAAAAACTTTATTTCATTTCATGCATAAATATGCACATTTTGCTTATTTAGACTTACTGCAGCACGTGTGGAGAAATTATCGACCTTACAGCGCTAATGTCGTTGACTGTATGCCAACGTCCCGATGATGTTGACCTAGCGAAGCACTGCATTACTATCTCACGATGGAAGGAGATACTTAAGCGCTAGTGGTTTTCCACGCCTACACAACCACGAGTAGCAAAGAAGCTGGTTTGATGAACGCTTTCTA